AAATGGCACTTCATATAGAAAATGCTACACCATATAGAAAATGGCACATCATGTAGAACTTGGTATTTCATATAGAAAATGCTATACCATATAGAAAATGGCACATCTTAAGAAAATGCCACATCATAAGAAAATAACATATATAGAAAATGCCACTTCCTACATGTAATGTCATCAGTTAGTGTATAAAATCAAAGGTATTCGATCAAAGTGTATCCTAGTGAGACAAAGTATCGAAATTTGACCTCCTTGAAGACAAATAACTAAGTGCAAATGGTGATAGAGAGAAAGGAACAGACCACCGTTTAAATTGGCGCAACACCCATACCTACACCTACACCCAAATCCACCCATCTCACACCAACACCCTCACACACGTTTGTAGAGCTGGTGGTAGTGGTTGCATATTTTTACCTTTAAACGCTTCAACACTCCTTTTAGATCGTGTTTTACAAAAGCTTATCTTTTTTTATAGCCATCTTTGTTTCTCATTTGACATAGCTGAAAAAGCAACTATTGCGCCTTAAGTTACACAGTATCAATGGACTCACTTATATCAATCGATCAAGAAATATACCAAATCGGTACGTTCGGTTTTTCAACTTCATCAACATTAACTAACGATTCTATAGTATCATCGAAGAAAAAAAGGGAACTTTCGAAGAAATTTTCAGTTATCTGCTGCGTTCCTGATATTGAACGAAGCAAGCAATTCGAAACAGCGATACAACATCTAGAAGAAATCATACCATGTGTCCTCTCAACGAACAATTTTGATGAATGTAAACAATGGGTAGTTTCATATCATGGCACTAAAAGAATTTTCCTTATTATCTCCAACAAATTTGGCAAGCAGATTGTGCCCAATATTCATTCTTTATCATGGATCGGTGCTATTTATGTGTATTGTACCGATCGCAAAATTCACACCAAGTGGACTGATGACTATTTGAAAGTACATGCCGTCATGTCTGATGCAAATAATTTAATACGAAAGCTATCAATGGATTTGATAAAGTATAAACATTTTAAGAACTTAAATCCGCAGGACCTGCTTGGAAAACTATCCTTTACTCGCGGTGCATCATCTCATAAAAAATACATAAAGACAACGAGAAAAGCAAGTCAAGAAGGTATGCATATATATATATCACATAAATCATGCAGATATTATTATTTTTTTTAAGATGGTCTAAGCGAATTTCAGTTTGTCGTTATCGATATAAGAAAACGCTTAGATGCACCAGCTTCTGCTATGTTACAATCCTTGAATGCGCAGACAGGAAACAGCATATTCATTTTTGACGATATTTCAACTGTTAATTTTGATGAGCTCGAGAAGAAGTCTACAATTCTTTTTGTCAGTAGCGAATTTGATGTTGCAATGGAAAGCGAACTTGAACATACGGAAGCGGTTTTTGTCCTGGAAGAGGACATCAGTAAAGTCGATTATCAGCATCGATTTAGTAATGGTGATGATGTCATCTTTCAATTAGCCGACGAAATATATCGATGTTATCAACAAGAAGCCAAAAAATATTCGATTTCGGGTGACTTAAAAACAGCAGAAATCAAAAGAAATGTATCGAATAAAATTCATGAAGAGTTGGGAAAAGTATACAGCTCAGCCTTAAGAATGATAGCACCATCACAACATCCATTAATGCATAAAAAGACTTGTCCGACTCAAATAACAAATAAGTAACATTGAAATAAAAAAACGCTTTGAATAATTTTTTTAATTTTTTGCTTCTCATTATGATTATACATAATAAACATCTACAGAAATAATATTTCTGATCCTGGTGAATTATATTTAACTTTAATTGCGATGCTTTTTGAGCTTTGTTTCGTTCTTTATAAATATTGAGATATTTAAATCTACATGTTGTTCTGTTTTGTAAATATGAATAATTTCTTACTCCTGCTTTATTTCAGATGCAATATATCGACGATATTAGATTCGAATGCAGCATATATCCGGCTGCGAGCTATTGGACTCTTCTGCTTTATCAGGAGCAGGGCGTTGCTGCAGTTATCCCATTAGCTAATGCTGATCTAATGTCTTTTATTCACGTTTTTAATGACACAGTACAGTGCAGAAATTATATCGATACACACCTTCAAAAAATGATCACACTATTTGCGTATTATAGAAATATACAACACTGGTTTCCATTGGTTACGAATATACCAAAGAATCTTCAGAAAATAAAAGTTTTTTGTCATGATGGTGAACTAGACGAGTGTACTCAGTGGTTAACGCGGTATATACAAAAATATAAACACTGTTTTTTTGAAATAATTATATGTGAAGAACTCAATTATAGATTATTAGTATCTGGTGTCGATCATTTGAAAAAGCTGCATTTAGATTTCCAGTATGATCCGCATCGATTGGCACAAACACAACAGGGATACAAAAGAATTTGCCATGTATTATCAAATTATTTTTGGCATGAAGCTAATGACTGAAATGCTGAAATAATACAAAAATAGACCAAGTGTAGAAGTAGAAGTTTAGCTTTCTGCTATTTTTATGTTTGTGTAGAAACAATTATTCGTCATCAGGGAAAAATAAATATGAATAAAATAATAAAATGAACTATTTTCGATGATGTTTTGGTAGAGATCGTTGAATATCTGATGATAATTACAATGATTTTTTTTCATTGTTCGATAGAAATATGTGTTCGGGAGATCTTCATCGAAGAGCAAAAGAAAATGTTAACTCTCAACTTACCTTGAATGTTGTCGTTGTTCTTTTCGAATGAAACATTCGAGCATAGAAGAATTTCATTTGTTCGTTCTCTTTTTCATCGAACTTGTCTTCTATCGCCCACAGTTGTTTCTCTGATCAAAAGCAACATGTTCGGTATTTACTCAAGAAAGCTGATCGAAAAAAAAGTTTGAATCTTTAATGCAAAGTAAATATTACGATAAAGAAGCCTTTGACAAATTCATAATGTGATGACATTAATGAAAGAAAGAAAAATCCATTGGTGTTGGAAAGGAATGAAATTCTTCATTCTTTTTTCTTTCGCTTTTTCTCGTTTTGACATTGAATTATGCGGTGTGGGTGTGGGTGTAATAAAAGAATAATCACACCCACACCCACACACATACAACTGCCTGATCAGAGAAGAAACGAAAAAACTGATTTTTTTACCCACGAAAAGCACACACATTCATATATAACAAATTATTTTATGGGAAAAAACTCAACACTCGTGCACAAAACTGTTATTATTGTTTATCATTGTGATCAAAATAAATTTTTCGTTCGCTCAAGAGTGTACAGTTTAGACATAGCAACATCAATGTTTTTCGATACATCTCTGTCTGAATGAATTGAAAAATGAAAAATCGCAGAAGAGTGAGGAAGTGAGAGTGTGTATCACAGAAAATCCGATACGACCGGTTACGTCCTTGCTTCAAAGGAACTCTTGAGAGTGTGGATCTGGGTGGGTGTGGGTGTGGTTGAGTGTTATCTTCTCATGCACACCCACACCCTCAAGCCTTTATTTTGACAAAATCTTCGACTTCTTCTTTCTATATCAATATCCCGTCACATGATTTGTTTTTTCTTTCGTTTGATAAACTTGTCTTTCATGAATACATCTACAAGGTAATGTTCTTTTTTTCGACTATTAAACAAAACAACAATTATAAATGGCAACAAAATCTGTTTCTAGAAAAATTCTTCTAGTATCATTAATTCTCTTGAGTATTATAACAATTGTTTGTTTTGTTATTGGAATATCAACTTATTTTAAACAAAATTCCAAAGTTGAGGGTGTGGATGTTCTTTTAATTTCACACCAACATCCTCAAACTAAGACAAAATTTACACATAAAGGGAAAATGAACCTCGCTGTTGCACTGCTAATTGAAGTCGCCCTATAGCTGCCATGGAAAGACTACAGTTACGTAGATGTATTTTTCGAAACTCAGGATATGTAAACATAGCAGAGCAGATCCTATCTACACTTGCATCAGTTGTCAATTTATTCTCAGATAAGCCTAGCCCAGGTATACCACCACGCTGATCAAATTTGAGTATTTCCATTAATACTTGTACTCCATAATCACTAATTTTGTTATCGAATAAATAAAGGAGACGTATCCGTCCATTAATTCGAACTGCCTCTACGAGATACTCACAGCTTGCATCTGTCATTCCAACTAAGTCCAAATATAGACCTATAAGACCTAGCTCCTTATTTGCCAATCCTCTAGCAATACATTGAACACCTGCATCAAGTAGTCGATTTCCACACAATTTGAGTTCTCCAATATATTTCATGTTATAGAACGATTGACCCAAAAGAGAAGCACCAACTGATGTGATTCCGTTGTGGCTAAGATTCACTCCCGTACGCTCCTTCTCCACAATACCTAATCTCACAACTATTTCCATATCTCGATCATTCAAATTCATCGATTCCATACCTAGTGCGGCAGGTGGTTCGGATAATCGAATTATTTGTTCCAGTTGTGGATTTCGATATTCATCTAATTGATTATCTTCAAAAGAAAAACTAATATAAAATACTAGAGATATTTTATCTCACGTATTACTTGTTATAGATGAAGATGTTTCATTCATTTGTTGATCATCATATAATGGAACCTCATGCAAATGAACTATATGAATTCCAACTCCTTGTTTAGAAGTTCCCATCACTTTAAGAACAATTCCAGGTAGAAGTAGAATTTCTTCTTCACTTTCAAGATGTGAATGTTCTCGGATTGATTTTCCATTTCTTGTTTTAATCTGAAATATTGTTTGTACTTTTTCTCTCCCTAAATACATTGGTGATTGAAGAATATTGAATGAAGATGTTGCAGAAGTCAACGACCACCATGTTATTTCATCTCCTTCTCGGTAGTATTCAGTCACATCTTTAGGAACACCACGCCAAACAGTATGATATTCAGCATATCTACTTACGATTCAATTCAAATCAATTCTATCAACAAATGAATTGCTTACGGTAGTTTGAAGAGTGCTGTAAAGAATAATTTCAAATATTTATACCAATATTGAAGTTGCTTTCGATCGATAGCAACGAGTGCTTGATTAAGGAGAACATGAAGACTATTTTCTGGTTGATTCCATTCCATGGTATATAAATAGATAGATGCTGATTCATCTGGAGTGAGTTCATGTTTAGGTTGTTTTGAATTCAGTTTGGCAATAGTTACGTAGAGTTGAAGTTCTGTACCAAGGATATTGTGCAGCGGTTGACAAGCTTCTTCAAGGGATAGAAGCTGTTCTTGTTCATAACCATTGATTGATTCAATGTTTGAATTTAATTGACAGGGAATATCGACTAAAAGACGAGGATTGATTTCAAACGAGACTGACATTATTATACGTAGGTGCACTTTATTTTTTCCAACTTTATTCACATCAGACTACTATTTTTATCGTGTGTTGTCGATAGGTAAATATCAAGAACAAGAAAAATATAACATATGTGCACATGGTTATGATAGAAAAAAGAAATAATATATGTATGATAGCAGTTTCTCTTCACGCAGTGTTTTATTTCAATGAATAACGAAAAAAGAAAGAATGTGTGAAGGCATATGAAGATATGACTGTAACAATATGAAAAAAACAATTTAAAACAAAAACGGTGTTTGGCAAATACAGAAAGATGTTGATCATAAAAATATCGAAAAGTTATTCATTTTATTTCAATGATTGGATGATGAGTACAAGTAGATAGTTTTCCAGTTGTTTGAAACAGCGGTTATCTTCCCTTTTCTTCGTATATCAACATCTAATGTTAACTGAGAGTTTGAGTGTGGGTATGGGTTAAGAGAAGATAGATACCCACACCCACACCCTCGAATGCTCTAGTCCTGAATATACCAGAAATATTTTCGTGAACGTTGTGAAGGATGATTTCTCTGACGAAATCATTTTTGGCGGGTTCAGGACTTAAGCGCTCAACAGGACTTTAAACACCTTAGTAAGCTTCGTTTTCTATTGTTAGATAATACTAAAATCCTTCTTTCAGAAAAGGATCAACAAATCCAAAGGTTGAGTGCTACGTATTTCTCATGTATGATAAATATTGTCTCAAAATGGTTAATGTTTTGACATTATTTTTCGCATTCGATGTCTTACTGTTTTTATTCCTTTTTAATGTAAATGAATTATCTAATACAGTGCATAGTAAATAAGGTATTCGTAATCTATGTTATCAGCACGAGCATCCAACTTTGTAAGAACGCATAAATGTT